CTATTATGCTAATGAGTTCCTGCTGGGCGTGGCCAACTCAGGAGCCAGCCGGAACTCCGTTCCTGTGCGTTCCTGCCCCAAAATAGCCCTGTCTGTATCTAAATTTGAGGGACTAGAAATACTGGAAGGGGTATCCCTGGCCTGCAGCATCAAAGCCGGCACAGACATTTGTGGAAGCTGCCTTTGCAGAGGCGAGGAGGTTCGCCTGGGGAACGGCTCTAGGCAACTGTTGCCATGGATTTTGGGGGATCTTGGGGGGAAAGAGACAGAAGAGACCACCAGATAGCATCTTGCAATGGCTCTGCCAAACCTAGAACTGAAAAATGGATAGGCATTTTAAGAACGTTTAGACCTCTGGAGCCTTTCCCAGCCACTCCTGCATTGGCTCAACATGTCTGTGTTCAAATGTGGCTCTAAAAAGGCTAGGTTTGTGGTGACTGGCAGAGGGAATTTAGCTCCCAGAATTAATTTGGATGCGTCTTAAAAAGGGCTTTGTCCAAGGAAGTCAAAATATAGAGAGGGGGGGAAAGGAGGCGATCGGAGAAAGAGGGCTGTATGGGACCGGAATAATGAACGAGACCCTTTTCTCCCGTTCTCACATTCCCTCATTCCTTCCTTTCGTAGCCTAAAGAGGACTTAGTCTCCTGGTCACATTAACCTCACATGATGCTCTCGCAAGGAGAGATTATCCAAGGAAAGAGGAATCTACTGAATGGCTGTTAAATCAAGAGGTCATTTTGGAGTCAAGAAACTGCTCTTTTGTAGTGATGCTAATGAGCTCCTGCACCTCTTTTTCTACAAAATGACCCCTGAATATGAGGATTATTCTCAGAAGTGAACAGCATTTGAATCAGGGGTCATTTCGTAGAAAAAGAGGTGTAGGAGCTCATTAGCATAACTCATTAGTCTAACTCATTTGCATATGCCACACCCCCTGACATCACCAGAAGTGTGTCAGATGGCAACACCCACCACTCAGGCTCCACTGGACTGTTTTGGATTGCTAGCTATTGGGGGAGGGGGAGGAACATGCAGATCTGTCCTCGCAGAGGAGGGAGAGCTTGTACCTGAATAAAACTTGGTCTTAAAGGTGCCACTGGACTACTTTGGACCAGGGGCCAAGGGGAGGGCTCTGCAGCTTACCTGGCCGCTTCTTGCTCTGACTGAGGGCTGTTGGGAGCAGGGGGTGGGGCTTGTTGCATGTGCCCACCCCCTGGGCTCTTTACTGCCGGAGCTCCGCTCCTGTGCGCTCCTGCCGGAAATGACCCCTGGTTTGAATTCAGTTACCACCTCTGGGTAGGAAAATTTCTGGAGATTTCAGGGTGGAGCCTGGGGGGGGAGGAGGAAGAAGAAGAGGAGGAGGAGGAGATTGGATTTATACCCCGCCCTTCACTCGGAGTCTCAGATCAGTTCACAATCTCCTTTCCCTTCTCCTCCCCACAGCAGACACCCTGTGAGGTAGGTGGGGCCGAGAGAGCTCTGAGAGAACTTCCCTTGAGAAAACAGCTTTGAGAGAACTTGTGACTGACCCAAGGTCACACCAGCAGCTGCTTGTGGAGCAGTGGGGCGGCAAACCCGGCTCTCCAGATTAGAGTCCGCCGCTCTTAACCACTACGCCAAACAAGCAGGACTCGTGCTACGGATGTATCGTTTTGGAGCGGAACCTTGTGGGAGTTGGCGGGCATCCGTTGTGTACAGGGAATTTATTTTTTACGGAGTTTAGAAAAAACAACACACACCCCTTCCGTGTTTGTTCGGGTTTCCGAAACACCTAAGCTTTTAGATGCCACGTGTGACTTAGATGTACCGCAGATTCAGCTAAATCAAAAGGTAAAGTCGTACCTCGGACTGGTGGGAAGGGAGGCTGCATCCTGTATGTCTAAATGCCCACCCGCCACGATGAAGAAGTGGCTGCATACAGAAAACAGCCTGACCAGGGTAGGAGCTAGGTTGAATTCTCCTCGCTTTTATCTGTTTGCACAAGGTATTTCACCAACGGTCCATTTGCAGGCAGTATTTTTACTTTTATCCTTTCCCTGCTGCTTGGTGGGGGTCCCTCGCGAGTAGCTCGCTCTAGCTTCAAAATCCCGGACGTACCAAGGTGGAATGCCAAGAGGAGCAAGATGGGACCCGTCTCATCCTGCAAGGTCACGGGGACAACGTTGTGTTTAACCAGCTTGTCTCTGCTTTTCTTTTCTTCCCGGAAAGTCTCACAAACAAACAGCAAACATCTGGCATCTTCCGTCTCCCTCTCCTTTCCCCGCTGCTATATTTTGTCTAGTCCCCTCCTTCTCCCTTTCTCATCTCTCTCTGGCTCCTGGGAAACACACGTTTTGACGGTTTAGCTTGGAAGGAGAGAGCAGAAAAATACCCGTTGTTCCCCCCTCCCAAAATCCTCAAATTAGAAACTGGTGGGAAGATATCTTTGTACACAGTGTCTGTTTTTAAAGTAGACAGGGATGGTAGGCCAATCTTGTTTGGATGCCGCCTGATACTCCCTCTAAGGTGTGGAGCCTTGTGAGCGAAAATTCCACTTTGTGAGCGACTGGGATTAAAGTCGTGAGGGAGCGATTTGGCTCCTGCATAAATCAGGTTGCTCTGGAGCCATCCCTTCCTGAGCGAAGACAAAAACGAGTGCAGATCCGGAAGCTGCAGCTGGTGCAGAACGCGGCCGCCCGGCTGTTGATGGGCCTCCCCAAGTGGGAGCACATCCGGCCTGGGCTGAAAGCGCTGCACTGGCTGCCAATAGCGTACTGGATCCATTTCAAAGTGCTGGTACTTACCTTTAAAGCCCTACATGGCCAGGGTCCGACTTACCTGAGGGACCGCCTTTCCCCATACGTACCCTCAAGAGCACTTCGGTCGGGGACTCAACATCACCTGGTGATTCCAGGCCCCCGGGAGGCAAGGCTTGCCTCAACTAGGGCCAGATCCTTTTCAGTGGCAGCTCCTACCTGGTGGAACGAGCTCCCGGAGGAGAATCAGGGTTCTGCGGGACCTCATACAGTTCCGCAGGGCCTGCAAGACGGAGCTCTTCCGCCAGGCGTTTACGTCGGAGCCGACACTACCACCACCACCAAGGGCGTGGGTAACAGCTGAGTAAGAGGACGGCTGTTGAAGATCTGCCATGATACCGCGCTGGGTGGGTACCACTCGACTGGCCGGGTACCCAGCTACAGGACACTATCTACCTCCAATGAAGGATTCGGCATTTACCGTCGGAAAACCATCTTGTTCTTTATTGAGCACCTTATTTTTGTGATTCGATGATTTTATTCTGTTTTAATCTGTTTTAATCTTGTTTTATATGTGGGCATTGTTGCCCTCTTGTAAGCCGCCCTGAGCCAACTCGCGGGGAGGGTGGGGTAAAAATACTCAGGGCTATTTTTTGGCAGGAACGCACAGGAACGGAGTTCCAGCTGGCTCCCAAGTTGGCCATGCCCAGCAGGAACTCGTTAGCATAATAGGCCACACCCAACAGCAGGAACTCATTAGGATTGGCTACATTAGGGGTGTGTGGCCTAACATGCAAAGGAGTCCCTCCTACCAAAAAAGGCCCTGGGTTTTGACAACAAACAAGGTAAACAGAATAACAAGCAAAAGGTGGGTGTGGCTGGATGACCACACTTCTGGTAACATGGGGGTGCGGCCTAATAGGTTAATGAGCTATGCTGTCAGGGGTGTGGCCCAATATGCTAATGAGTTTCTGCTGTTGGGTGTGGCCTATTATGCTAATGAGTTCCTGCTGGGCTTTTTCTACAAAAAGATCCCTGGAAATACTAATAAATAAATAAATAAATAGTGTGTGAGCCGGAGGCTAACGAACTGTGAACTAGCTCACACTAACGCAGCGTAGAGGGAACACTGGTGCCGTTGTACTCGAGAGGGACTCAGAATCTTGGGTGCAGCAAGCTCGGAGCGGTGGGAGATAACTTTTGCAGCTGCTTTGGATCCCCGGGGGATTATTTTTCATCAAGCTTTTCTTCCCACAGCAGTTTATCCCTTTCATCCTTCTGTACTGCAAGGACCAGAGACAAGAGTTCATCATTCTTTCTTCCCACTCAGATGCTGCTGGAAGGCTCCCCCCCCAGTCGAAAGATGCAAAGGGGCTACAGAGAGCCAGTTTGGTGTAGTGGTTAAGAGTGTGGATTCTAACCTGGGAGAACCGGGTTTGATTCCCCGCTCCGCCACATGCAGCTGCTGGTGTGACCTTGTGTTAAGTCCAGCGCTTAACAAATAGTCGGAGAGTGATTTCAGCAAAAGACTCAAGTTTATTCTGATCACGATCACTTCTCCAACACGGTACAACATCTGATAGCCCGAACAGCTTGTCCATTGTAGCTGTCCGGTATTTAAACAATTCCCGGCTAATGTAGCCACACCTACTAAACAGATATCAACCTATCAGGTTGAGCGCATAAGGACCAATCCGAGTCTTTCCCGCTTATGTACATTCGAACCTGATTGGCCGCTTAAGTCTTGGACTTCAATCCTTGTTCAAGACGAAGCTTAACATAGCTTCCCAATGCGGTGTTTCACAATGCATCTTAGGTATTCATGGCAGCTTCTGAATACGCTACACCTTGTGTCAGTCACACGTTCTCTCAGAGCTGTTCTCTCAAGGGTAGTTTTCAGTCAGAGCTCTCTCAGCCCCACCCACCTCACAGGGTGCCTGTTGTGGGGCGGGGGAAAGGAAAGGACATTGTAAGCAATGTTCCCTCTAAGCTGTGGAGTCTTGTGAGCAAGATTTCTACTTTGTGAGCTACTGGCATTAAAGTTGTGAGCGAGTGGTTCAGCTACTGCATAAATCAGTTTGTTCTGGAGCCCTCCTCCCTGAGCTAAGACAAAAATGTGTGAGCCGGAGGCTAAAAAACTGTGAGCTAGCTCACACTAACTCAGCTTAGAGGGAACACTGATTGTAAACCCCTCTGAGACTCCTTTGGGTAGTGAAGGGCGGGGTATAAATCCAGACTCCTCCTCCTAAATATCCCACAGATGAAAATGTTGACACATGAACATGCTGGCTTGCTCTACGTAAGAACGATGTCCCCCATAAGATAAACATCACACCTTGGATTCTGACTCGCTTGATGTGCCAGTGTTCCACCGCTAACGTTTTCTTTGGAAGTACAGCCTCTTTAGACGATGTATTTTGCCTTCACCTGGATGGCCCAGGCTAACCTGATCTCGTCAGATATCGGAAGCTAAGCAGGGTCGGCCCTGGTTAGTCCTTGGATGGGAGACCGCCGAGGAAGTCCGGGGTGGCTACGTAGAGGCAGGCCATGGCCAATCACCTCGGTTAGTCTCTTGCCTTGAAAACCCCTATGGGTTTGAAATGCTGTTTGCATTCACACCGTTGATTAGATATTTATTTCTGCCTCCAACCACCACCTGTCTTGTGACTGTAATCTCATCATGATTCTCAAATCCTAATGGATTGTGCTTCTTGTCAGAATGATCAAAGCTGATGGATACAGCCTGGCCATTTTTATAAACAAGATCTTGCAAGTTGGAAGCTCGTACCTGCGATAGATTGGTAATTGTTGTTGTTCAGTCGCACAGTCGAGTCCAAATCTTCGCAACTCCATGGACCAGATCCCGCCAGGCCCTTCTGTCTTCCACCGTCCTCTGAAGTTGGCTCAATTTCATGTCCGTTGCATCGATGACACTGTCCAACCATCTCATCCTTTGCCGTCCCCGTCTTCTTTGACCTTCAATCTTTCCCAGCATCAGGGTCTTCTTCTCCATTGAGGGCTCCCTTCTTCTCATTGGGGGGCCAAAGTATTTGAGCTTCAGCTTCATTATCTGGCCTTCCAGGGAACAGTCAGGATTGATTTCTTTGAGGATTGACTGATTTGATCTCCTTGCAGTCCAAGATTGGTAATACCCAGTAAGAAACAGACACACACACACAGGCTGTATATTGGAGCCACCAGTAGTATATAAGAGACCTCCCAGTTGATAAATGATCAGTTATAGAAACAACCAGGGAAATGTTTTGTATATAATGCAATGGATACTATATTGAAGTTTTATACAAAGTGTAAATTAATTTTTTTTAAATTTTTTATTACTTTTTCAAAAGACATGAACAATAAAGCTTGAGACAGTCGTACAAATCGCCACGGTCAAGTAAAGAATGAAATCAGTATAACACGGGGACATAGAATGATACCCTCCCGTGACCCACTTAAACAATCAACTCCCCTTGTTCCACCTTTTCCAAAAATAAGGACCATTTATCTAAGGAACTATACAATTCCCTCTCACTCCGAAAAGCGTCGAAATAAACAGTATGTTTTTCCAACATGAAATAGTCCCAGACAACAGAGAGCCAAGAGGCAGCCGTGGGCGGTAGTGCTCTTCCAAAATCAGGCTATAGATGATTTGGCACCTGTGAGCAGAACGTTAATTAACTCTCTTTTCATTACAGGAGGTTCATCTGACGACCAGTGGCCGAGAAGGAGCAACGCCGGGTCTAAAGGTAAGTCCACTCCTGTTATCCTATAAATAAGGCGTATAATTGACGACCAGAATTGCTGTTGAAGGTCAAAGAAGACGGGGACGGCAAAGGATGAGATGGTTAGACAGTGTCATCGATGCAACGAACATGAAATTGAGCCAACTTCAGAGGACGGCGGAAGACAGGAGGGCCTGGCGGGAGATGATCCATGGGGTCGCGAAGAGTCGGACTCGACTGTGCGACTGAACAACAACAAAGAATTGCTGTACGTGATGGCGTTCCCACCAATTATGAAAGAAAGTGGCTTTGTTGCCGCGGTTTTTCCAACAAAAAGGTGAAGCACGGACTGAAATATAAGAGAGCTTGACCGGAGTCATGTACCATCTGAACAGAACCTTCTAAGCCGCTGCACAAACCGTCAGTGATCTGGAAACTTTGGCATGCATTTTCCAGATGTGGTCCCACTGATCCTCGGTAAAAGATCGATTCAAGTCCTCCTGCCACACCGTTTGGTAAGTGTGAAGTGTGTCTGAGTCCAAGGGAACTAAAATGGAGTACACGCGGGCAATGTATCCTTTCAGCGGTCTCTGTTTCGAAAGGAGCTTCTCTAAATCAGTTAGAGGCCTTTTAAAGTAAGAGATTCCATCCAAGGGGCCAAGCATATGCTGCAGTTGGAGATACTCGAACCAAGGCAGCGTAACATTGAATTGTGCCTCCAGTGTCTGTTTC